AGTCAACATTGGGCCGATGGATTTTTCATTCATACGGCCTTTTGTTGGATGTTTGCCGAGTTTGACAATTGCATGCGTCATCGCCTCAATGGCACGCGCTTGAGTATCTGCAGTGGTTGTCCGATGTGATCGCATGTCCTCCCCCTCTTCCCCGGAGAGTGATTTCGTTGTCGAAACGCGACTGCTCCATTTACTGAAGTCCTGTTCGGTCATCCAGCCCTGGTCCTTTTGTTTGCGTAATAACGCAGGATTTTCAAAGCCATATGAAGGTCAAGATGTCCGTTGGTGGAGTTGGAATTAAATAACCGCATCCAAATGTCAATCGTTCTGTCCTTAAGTTGCTCGAGTCTAAGAAAGACCAAATTATGGTCATTTCCTCCAATGTTCCCTGCAAGCTGAGAGTTTGGGCCTAGCCCCCGAGTTGTCAATTTGTGCTCGTGCAAATATGTGCATATATATGTGCTCGTGGTATATGCAAAGTCAGCGTAATCGAGCATACCAGAATTGCTTTAATAAGCCGACTATATGGTATCAATAAAGTGGGGCTACAGGACCAAATATCTCCCCTTTCTAATGTATGGAATGGCTCTACAGAATTCGAGTTGCATCTTCTTTAGCCAACGTTTGTTCGTTTGGCGTCCGATTTGCCCGACAAAGTGGTTTTAGTATCCAATTGTCTCTGGAGAGGTTACGAAGGTATTGTCGTGGTGTGCAGCGAAGTTCCTTCAAATCTTTGCGATAGACAGGGATCACAGATGGATTTGTGGGACTAAGAGAGAGAGAGAGAGTACAAGACTGCTGAAGAGTAGTCGACAACAGGGCTGCAGACCCCTGGTCGAAATAAGCTCAACTTACTATGGCGTCCTCGTAGGAGGACGAAAAACCCCACCGTTTGAGCCTCTGGCGTATATGATAATGTTCTCACTAACTAAAGAGATATATCTCACGAACATCCAACCTTAAAGGCCGCAAGTAAAACTGAGCAGTGAATAATATAGAGATTTTGAACGTTAAGTAACCCGACAACAGAGCGCGACAGCAATGCAGGCCAGCGAGGCGGGCTTTACCAGTGTGTCGTTTCTCGTCAAATTCAAACAAGCAATCCGGTCAAAGAAAACGGGACTAAATTGGCGAAGGTAAATTAGTCCGGTACCTCATCCCACATCTTCCCAGACTAGAGAAATCAGGAACAGGAAAATGCATGCAGCTGCTGAAACTGACCAAACATGAAATCGGTGTCACTTAAGGCAGGATGAAAAGCAGTCTTTTTTTATCGTACTAAAAGGAGTACGATTTGACTTGCTATTTTTTTTACAAAAGATCGCTAATGAACATGGCATAAACGGCAAATGTCTGTCGAGAAACTTCATCGAGGGAGAAAATCGTCATATTTCGCGGCTACCTTTCAAAACAATTTAGTGGCATCCATAAAAGATGAAAGATATTCAATAGACAATTTGGCGAGCATACGTAAGTCTTCGATAAATTCTCATTAGGCCTATACATTTGCATTGCTATCGAAATAAGTAAAAGGAAAATGCGGACAAGCAGATGTTATTCTGTAGCTGGGGTTTGGGGGGAGGGTCTGGGCGGGTGGGGTGAAAAACAAAATTATCGTCAGTGTCGGGGGGAGAAGGGGGGTGGTGGACACTGCGACTGGTAGTTATACGCCGGTGGTTGGCATGGTGGCTTTGGCCCATGGTAACTGTGGGGCCTGTACGAAGTTCATTTGTGCGCATTGATGCAAGGTATATCTAGCAATTTAGCACGCATCAAAACATTTCACTTGACTATGATTCGAAATTTGTCTACTGCAGTGGGATAGTGTTGAGTGTGTGGCTTGTAGAAGGAGACCGCCGACAAAGAAAAGAGAAGTTGGAATGGCCATTTCTGGCCGCCACCAGCCCCAGGTTGGGGTGCTGAACTCCTTCCAAACAGAACGCGGGTTGAAGCATCCGGAGTTGTAGACCTGGGGTTCGGCTCGACCAGCTGGTTGATGCCAAAAAATAGGTCGAATCGGCCATTCCAGTCCCTCTTATCTTTGTTGGTGATCGCAGTCTGCAACTACCTACGGAGCTCCAGACTAGGCCTCTGGACAAGTCACTGATCGACCCCATGAAATGTTAGCCAAAATTCTGAAATGCGTTTCCGAGTGGAAAGGATTATTTACAGTTAGTGACCTATTTCTTAAAATGTGTCGAAATTTACGGATGATTGCTAATTACTCGCAAACCGATACTATTTAATGAGCCCACTGTCTATGTTAATTAAGTACAAATTCAAAAGAATTAAAAACTTAAAAACAATATTAAAGCCAGTGTTGCGTTGTTTAGAAATGCCGATTTCTTTAGAAAAGCGCAATATCCCGAAAACGTTAGGAATGGCTCTAACTTAGTAAACTTCGTTTTTAGATGTATAGAATTCATTCTCATACCAAAATCTTAGGCATAAGATAACGTCTATTAATGGTGTTTTAGTGAAGTTTATATCTAAATATCGGTTAATAATTAGTGTGAGTTCATATATGACGGTGTGTCAACTGCCTACATTCTGAGTGTAGATTCCAAAACAATCTTCCTGGGATTCATGTTATTTTTGACTCATTTGAGGTAAATGAGATAGGGTCCAACAAGAGAAGCTGGATTTTGCTTGATTCCACCGATGGGGACCTCGTAGGAACAAAATTTTTCATAAGGTGACATGCTGTCAGGCCAGTCAGTGCCTAATAAATTTAAATTTAAACATATCATTTTGTGTTTATAAAGAGAACCTTTCTTCCGTAAAATTAATCTACACTTTTCCTTCGCTTTGAATCACGTTGGGTTTCAGGTCGACCTCGAAATGTTGCTGAATACTTCACGATTTTTGTGTTTTCCCCGATCTTCCCTAAAGACGGATTTTGAATTACCTGTCTTTTAAGAACTTTAAAATAAGGTTATTCTTAAAGGCATTAACCGAATTAGTGAGTGTTCGGGGGCGCCCGAATTGGAAAAGCTCTGGGTTTCTTAAAATAACCATTCTGTTAGCAGGTTGATTACCATGCTTAACATTCGACATAAAATAAATTTTGAAGTTCACCTAAATCTGTTTATTAAAACTCTCGCGGATAAATTATCCCCTCAATGAAGAAGTCGCTCAGATGAAAAACCGGAGTCTAGGACATGTCTTAGCATAGTAAATTGCACAAATACACTCCAACGTCCATTTTCGCAAAAATTTACGGCTATTTTGCTAGCTATAATTACGTAAACACAATTTCGGCACAAGAAAAGGACATTTCATTGAAGGATATGGATGAGCGAACAAAATGCGTACCGTTAAAGGCGTCCAAAAGTAATTGCATCAGTTTCCGTTATTAGATTTCATGAGATAGGTCACGTACTGTAGGTGGCACTGTTATATTGAATGTCATGCGGCACAATCCCCTAGTATTTCGGACTCTCCAGGACATCGGCTCTTGAATGCCTTCGATGCCCCGACAAATTTGGATATATTTTTTGGAAAACAAGCACAAAATATGCTGTTCTACCCATTTTCGTGGTAAGCTATGTCGTCATCACATTTTATGCTCGAAGAAGAGGGATATTTTTGTTTTGAAAGAGGTTTCTAATTCCCGAATAATTTTGAGCCAGATCGTTCTTTGCACTGATGTTAGGTGAGTTCAGTCTACAGGGTGTATGCTTCCCGCGTAAGGAAAATTTTATACTTCCCCCATGCCTCGAATAAGATGCTTTGTAGAGCTCATATATCAAGCGCCGCTGTGCGGCTGCTGGTTGGGCTCGAGGGTCAGCCCGTAAGGCACAACGGAACGAGTGAGTTCCGTAAGAACGATCGGTGAGCGCCCACTACAATTATATGTTCCCGATCGAAACCGATAGGGCAACGGGCTCGTGGCCCAGTGGTTAGAGACGTGGACTTCTGACCAACAAGTCGTGAGTTCGAGCCTCGGGTGTTCCACCCTTCGGGGTTCGGTATGACTGGCTGACGACGGCTCATAAGCCAGAAATGGCCATTCCGGTCTCCCTTTTCTTTGTCGGTAACAGCATTCTGCCTAAAATTATATATTCATCCATGCCTTTAAGAATATGCTATGTAGAGCTCATAAAATTTTGTAGTGGATGCAGACTGCGTTGTATACTTCATGGGGAGCACTAATAGTCGTACATTTGCGATGCTGTATGAGTGGATATTGCAGAGTCCTAAAATATCTCACAGTTAGAAACTTTTCAAAACCGAAAGCTACTCTCTCTCTTTGAGCCTGAAATGCGTAGATGGCGTGATTTGGTAAAAAATGAGCAAAAGAACGCATATTTTTGTTCACGCTTTCTATAGTATATTTTGAATATATAAGACCATCAAAAGTCAATGCGAAAAATGCCGACTACTTAAGCATTAATGTTTAATCGAGTGAGGCTTCTGCCGGGCTCGTAAAGAAGGGCATTCAAAAGCCAATGTCCCGGCGAGTCCAAAAGACCATGGGATCATTCTGCGTGACAAGTGATACTACAACCCCACCTAGGCTATTCTTCCTAATCCAAAACTCATTTCAGACCTTCGGCTAACATTACAAGAAATCGATCCTGTAAAGCGGCCTAAAAGGGCCCTCTACTACAGTCAAGGCAGCTTGTTCGGCAGGATCCTATTTCGTAGTCGTACTTGCTAGGGGTTTGGAGGTCAGGGGTTAGGCTTAGGGGTTAGGTTGGGGCTTGTATACTGTAGGCATGGATACGAAATAAGATCCGACTGCCTGGTCGCACCTTTTCAGCCAAAATCCGGTCACTTCTAGGCACTGATAGTGCTCATGAGAGTACGAACACAGTCTCGAAACCTAACCGTCAGTCCATTTATCTTCCCCAAAGTTTTTATCTCAGCTGTCCTTTTGCTCTGCCCCCCCTCCCCCTCTCTCTCCCCACTGCCTACAGCTCTCACTACTACGAGGCAACGCGGCCGAGCTACTCCTTCTCTGTCTGGTCTGGCAGGCATGTGTGGCCGGCAAGCAGATGGACGATACAGAGACCCCAATGGGCAACAGTCCAAACCGCAGGACAGACGGCCCCTATCGCATGGACACCCCGGACATTAAGAGGTCCTCGTTCGTCAATTCCCCAGCAGGTGTCACTCCCCAGGGTGCCCAGACGATTCCTCGCTGCCTGGGTGAAACGCTGTTTGCGCTAGCTAGCACAGCTACCTTCTCGCCAGCCTGCGCAGACTCCGGTCTGACCTGGCTTCTGAAGGTCATCGCGGCCAGCGTCTACCAGCCCATTCAGGAGCTGGGACTCAATGAGACGGAGATTATCTGCCTGAAGGCTATTATCTTTTTTAGTCCCAGTGAGTCAGTCTGACATTGGACTACGATTAAAGCTGCGCTGTACAGTGGGTGTGCTAACTCGTGAAATGTTGACTGAAATTCTGAACTGTGTTTTCGTTTCGAAAAAATTACTCAAGAAGGGTTTCAAAAATAATCATCTTACAATATAATTCCACGATAATTCAGTTACCTCGAAATGTGTGCTTTCGAATGAACTCCTTTCCGGCCTCATGCGAAGACCACACTCTGTGAAAAATGACTACTCAGGTAGTATGAATTGCTCCCATTTATTTCAGATGCCCTTAAAACTTCAATGATACTTCATGGAAAGTAGGCATACAAATATTCATTTTTTACTCATTCCGCAGAAAATTACGTCTTCTTCCAATTTTATACCCACAGGAAGGGTTTAACTTGTTTTTCAAAAGTTTTTCAAATTCTCGAACAATTTTGAGCCCGACCTGCCGTTACACTTGTATTCAGGGCTTCCAATCTACAAGCCGTATATTTTCCGCATACGAAAAACCATACATTTCTCTACAGTATTAAGAGGAGACCATATGGGGTTCATAAAATTTAGCAGCGGATTTGAGTCATATTGTTAACTTTAAAAGCAACATTAGTAAATGCAGAGACATGATATTTTATGAACGGACATTTCACGATCTTAAAAAGTCTCAAAATCAGAAACTTTTTTAAAGCCGAACTATACCCTTCATAGGAGTATCAAGTTGTAAGAAGACGTAATTTTCTACCGAATGAGTAAAAATGAATTTCATGTGCATGCTTATCATGAAATATAATTGGATTTTTAGGGAAATCGAAAATCAATGGGAAAAAATCCTGCCACATAGGTAGTCATTTTTTACAGATTGTGGTTTTTGTATGCGACCGAAAAATGTTTATTCGAAAGCCCGCACCTCGAGGTAACAGAATTATTGTAGAATTAGGTTGCAGGATGATTGTTTTTGAAACCCTACTTAAGAAATCTTTTTCAAACGAAAACGCATTTCAGAATTTCGGTTAACATTTCGTGAGCTAGCACACCTACTGTAGGACCCGTGCAAAATTTGTTCTTTAGAGTGCCAACGTCAGAGGGGACGAATTTAGGAACTCACTCACAGAAGATGGCCAAATCCGACGGAGATTAATTTTACAGGTGGCGCTTGCATGAACAAAGGGGACCGGATCACCGTTTCTGGCTTATGGGTCTCCACCACCCAGTCATACCCCCCCCCCACACAGGCCGGAAGATCTGAGATTTTAATTCTGCGCTGGTTGCTCCTCCAGCAGGTGACTAAAACGCTTGGCTACTTCGGTTGCAGGCTCACTTCCCGTTGGCTGCGATTGGTGGACATTCAAGGTCGCATGAAAATGACGCTTGCCCGGCTGACATGACTTCAGAACATAGTACGGTTGGCTCCGATTAGTCCTGGAGTCCCATTCTAGAAACCTTGCGAGCGGTCACGTGAAGCCCAGCGCAGGACGATTCAGTTGCGATCGCATTAGACGCAGCCTGAAGACGTAGCCGAGGTTGGCGTGCCAATAAGCGTGCACGTCAGCGCGCCAAAAAAGTAGAAGTCTGATCCCATTGGCCCAACAGCACTCAAACTTCTGCGATTGACCAACTTATTCCGGGGAATAAGTAAATACCCACGATCTAAGCGGTCATTGAGGGCTTCATCAAGAAAAAGATTCTAGCGCCTTCGGTGTCCTCCCTTGGTTGCACGCGAGGCTTGAACGGGGACATCTCAAAACCCTATTTTCACAAGCGTCCAAAGCACTTAGTCCACGTATCCTAATGATGGATGCCGAAATGACAGTCGGTGAGTACCAGACAGGGTACTGATTCCCTGTTTTGACTGCTACTGGGTTTGGGGTCGCGCGTGTGAAATTTTATAGACTAAGTAGTAAGAGTACTCCAAGCGTCATACTCCCAAGGTTAGGTGTCCGGAGAAGACTGCAGGCGCCGGAAGGGGGAATTTATTGTGAACAGTGCCCCGAGTCGCTGTATCGGGTAACAATGACCACTGGCGGGCGAGGGTATGTGAAATGTATATGTTACTGACAACATTTTAGTAACGTGTTTGTTTGAACTTTAATATTGTATGTACAGTTTTCAGTAGTCTCCAAAGGCAGTACCCAATACCCTAGATACACTATATAGATATACTATACTAACTTATTGCGTTCACTTAGCGAGCGTACTTTGAGCAGCACAACCAGTAAATTAAGTCGTAATCGTTAGGACAAGCTAAAGGTTACCAGATTGTTGTAAACGGAGCTCTAAGCTGCCCTCTTAGCAGCCGCTGCCGAGGCCAGAGCGTGTGCTGACGGTCAGGTCGGAGCGAAGGTGAGACAGTGGTGTCAGCTGCTTCTACAGGCTTTTGGGGAAACTAATGCAACTGCGTGGTGCCCGAATGGCCAACATTTAATTATTTGAGGGGTGGACGGCTGTCACTGTCTGGGCGTAGGTGTGTCCTAACTGAAGTCAGTTCAGTGGCTGCAGGTCACTGCGCGGGATGACAGTTCGACCATCGGTTTCGATGATGTCCACCGTGCGCCCCACAGTTGCAGCAGCAGTGGGAGCAGGGACGATGACTTACGCAGGGGTTTATAGTGCCGGTAGACTTGCGTAGCATCTACCTACACTCTCTCCTCCTCCCTCGCCCGAACCCGGTGTCAAGACAGATCCAAGAAGACCGGAGACGAGAGAGGCCGCAAGTGGATGGCTCGGACGGATCCTCACCTTGGCGGTCCACAACACCCCCTGGTCCACACAACAAACAACCAGGATTTCAACCAACACAAGAGAGATTTGGAGGCTGGCACGGCCGAAGCCGCACCTGGACGTGCCGCCAACGCCTGGCTCGGGTCCCACACTGTGATGGGAGTGCCATAAAGGCCACATTAAAAAGGAGCCATTGCAGCCTGACTCTCAGACCGCCTCCGGTCAAGGAGGAGGCCCAAGATACCCCGTCAGTTGGCAACATTCCAAGCCACGGCTTTTAGCGCACCATGATAGCTGCAAGCGCGTCAGATGGTTTATAGTAAGGAAAAAGTGCGCTGAGTCGTCGACCTCACTCTCCCTTCCCACTCCCACACCCCAGCCGCTGTCCGAGCCGGTCAGCAGACTGGAGTGGGGAATGGGTGCGGTGGCTGTCATGGTCGACTAACCATGACTGCGCGCGCCACTGCACGACCTGGCCCCCCATACACACAACACCAGGATTTCACACAACGGGGGTTGAACGGCGTGTCTCTCACTTGCGTGAGAGGGCCGTGAAAGGTGCTGTTTCAGCCCGTCCCCAGACCACCAGTCCGCCACTCCACACAACACACACACACACACACACACAACGCGACGAACTGCGTGAACCGAGAGCGGACGTCAATCAGCAACCTTCCTATCCACGACGCTTGACGTGTCGGGATAGTCTCGGACTCAAGTAACCCGTGCAGCCGAAGCCGCATGAGGACCGAGTCGAGATGCGGACTTCCCACTTGCGTGGGAGGTGGCAGTTGGGTGCATGAGGTGTGTGAGTGTTGATTTCTGGTGGGGTGATGGTGGTGGTGGAGGAGGTAGGGAGTGAGTGAATTTGTGGTGTGGCCGGTGGTTGTCTACCGCAAGTCGTCGTGGATACGCATGTGGCCGAATAGGCTCATGCGATGCCTGAAAGTGCGAGGACAGTGTGGGCAGTTGAGACGAGCTTGGTGGTATAGGTGGGTGCTCCAGGCACTGGTTCGCCAGTCTCTGTGCGATGGATTCGCAAGTGACCGACCAGGCCGATGCGTGAGATGAATGTGCGTGGACAGTGTGGGTATGAGAAGTCGGCGGTGCCAGTGTCAGCTACAGAGGAGGCGGTGGTGGTGGTGGCGCGGACGGATGGAGCGAGGGTGGGGGTGTGCACGGTGGATGTGTTGGATGTGGTGGGTGTGTCGGGAGTCCGGTCAAGGCCGCTCTCGTGGATGCGCGTGTGGCCGAAAAGGCCCATGCGATGCCTGAAGGTGGGCAGTGGAGGCGAGTGCGGTGGGTGTAGGTTGGTGCTTCACGCACTGGCTTGCCAGTCTCTGTGCGATGGATTCGCAAGTGACCGACCAGGCCGATGTGTGAGGTGAAGGTACGGTCGCAGTGAGGGCAGGTGTAGTCGTGATCCTCATTCCCGGAGTCGGGGGAGGTGGTGGTAGTGTCGGTTGCTGTGCGCGGGACAGTCGCCTGAGCGGCCGCCGTTGGAGCAGTGGGCGAGGAGGAGGAGGAGGAGGATGATGGAAGTGGTGGGTCAGAAGAATTGTCAGAGTTATTTGGCGGCGGAGAGGAGGAGGAAGAGGCAGGCGGGGGGACGATGGTTGGTACCGTTCGAGAGGCGCAGTTAATCCGAAGATGTCCAACAAGTCCGATTCGAGCCCGGAATGTCCGTTGACATCGAGGACACGTTGAAAGCGGTTGTGCGGCGGCGTTGCTTACTGGGCAAAGTTGTGATTTGCGGGCTTCACGTTTCGCTTTGGCGGCAGCGATGCGGTTGGCTTCGAAGATCGCAGCGCCTGTCTTCACTGTCCTCCTCCAGGTCGGTCGATCGAGTGTGAGCTCCTCCCAGTTGGTCGGGTTGATTTGCAGGCATTTCAGGGAGGACTTCAGGGTATCCTTATAACGGCGAATCTGGCCTCCTTGACGACGAGAACCCGTCGCGACGTCTCCGTAGAAGAGTCGTTTGGGTAGTCGCTCGTCGTCCATGCGCACCAGGTGGCCGCTCCAGCGCAGCTGCATATGCCTCAGTATGGCGTAGATGCTGAGGATTCCCGTCCGTTCCAGCACATCAGTGTCGGGGATTCGATCCTGCCACTTTAGCCTCAGGACGCGACGAAGACAACTGAGGTGGAAGTGGTTCAGACGAGGTGCCTGGTTTGCTTACACCGTCCAAGTCTCCGCTCCATACAGTAGTGTCGGCAGGATGACGGCCTTGTACATCTTCAGCTTCGTGCTCAACTGAAGACCGTAGCGATTCCAAACTGTGCTTTGGAGGCGACCGAAGGCTTGACTGGCTTTCGAGATCCTGTTGGCGACTTCGTCGTCGATCTTGGTGTTGCGGGAGAGAGTACTGCCCAGGTACGGGAAGTTCTCCACCACCTGCAGTTGGGTTCCGTTCACGCTGATTTGCGGCGGCGAGTTGGGAGCTGTGGCTGAGTTGGGTGGCGGTTGGTGCATCACCACCGTCTTCTGCGTGTTAATGACCAGACCGAAGTTCTCGCAGGCGGCGGAGAACAGGTCCATGCTCCGTTGCATCTCCTCTTCCGAGGTGGTGTTTAGGGCGCAGTCGTCGGCGAGGAGGAGTTCGTGAACGGTGCGCGGGATATAAGACGAAGATGTTCTGCAGTAGGGGCCTTTATGATGAATTAGAGCCACCTTGGACTGTTTGCGTCCCGAAATTAATAATGTGGCCGGTGCAATTGTGACGTTTGGCCACAGCTCCCAGGGGTAGAGCAGGATCATTACAAAGTTACGTCCAAAAGCTTGTCCAGGCAGGAGTGGAAGGCTTCGCATTCAGCTTACTTCGTTAAACTTCCTCGAGAGGGATCTTTAAACTAATCAGAAGTTACACCCGCCTCATTTCTCGATTGTTCATTCCCTTCTTCTCCGGCAGTTAGCCTAAATAAATAGGGCTGGAAGTGCTAACTGTTTCCCAGACGCATCCAAGGTGTGGGTTACTTGACCTGTCTGGTGTCATTGTTCAAGATTTCTAGGTAACCATATGGGGGTACGTGTGATATCTGTAGCGGCAGCCATCATGACCTGTCTGGTGTCATTGTTCAAGGCCTCGCTGCGTCAAGGTCACTCCCCTTTTGCAATGGGCCGTTCCAGACGCGCTGACCTGAAGTCACACAACCGACAGCTCGAGCATACCTGCGTCCTCACAGCCGCAGTTACCCATGCGGCCACTTGAACGCACCTCCCACCTGCAACCACAACCTAAGCCATCGCGGCACCACCCCTCGGCAAATTCAACGCACACGGACTGGACACGACTTGACCTTGGCCCACGAGCCAACAAAAGCGGCTGCTACCACTTTCCCAGGGACTCTCAGGTATGACTGGACGCAGCCCTGGCTTCGCCAGTGGTCACTGCCGCCTGAGGGGACAATTGCGCGTTCTGTGCACAATAAACCCCTCATTCTGGTTCCTTCTGTCTTGTCCTCCATGATGGAACCTGACCTGACGATGGTAGCGCACAGACTACACACATTCTCACTGCTGTGCCGCCACAGATCTCACTCAGTCGGCTCTGTTAGGGACAGAGGCTGCTTTTCAATTTGCTCTGGAGGTTTCACTAATCAATCTTATCAACTTTTTCTGAGGTTTATTACTGGAACTCTTCTTCTTCTTCACCTGAGGACTAGATGCTCTACTAGCAGTTGTACACATCCTGTGGATAAAAGTCTCGATCATCAGGATAAGGTAGAGGTCACCGGAGGACGGTTATGTAGCCCCACCTGATGTACACAATGCTGTTGGGGTTGGGATTAGAGTTAGGAGTTAGGGCAACTATTTCTCAACCACTCCAAGTACAACCACGCATTCCCAAGAGTTTCCCTTCCGCATACAACTACTTGACCTCGTCGTCTGTGCGTTTCTCGGCCCCACCTGCTAATACCCCTATTTTACCACCGGTCCCGTATTACCGGCGGCTGGGGTTTGTTTAACTCAGGTGCGGTCACATAACCACATCTGACCGATAAAAGTCTCGATAATCAGGGTTACCGGAAGGAGGGCTTTATTAGGAACAGTGCTCCGGACGATAGTGACCACTGGCGAGGCCAGGGTGTGTTTGTTGACTTGTTGGGCCATGCGCGAGAGCAAGTGAGACAGTGTCGTCAGGTGTTTTAATGCATTTGTGGGATTAGATTCAGGTGTCGTTGTGGTCACGTGATGTGTTCTGGTTTTCCCGGGCTATGGGATTTTGAAATGGAGCATGAACGGTGTTGTGACTGTCTGACTGTAAGGTCAGACGGTGAGGTCATCACATGGAGTAACCTTGGCTGGGAGAGGGGGGAAGTTGAACAGGGACGCCGGACACCACAGTGCTGGTTGTCGACACAAGCCTGTTGGACTACAAACTGCTTTACGCGCAAGTCACGGCTGCGTCCACAGCGTGGGGCTTAAGTGAACCCCATTACTGGCCGCGATCAAAGTGCCAAAATTCTAAGTCTCGAGACCAGTAGAAAGTGGCAACTTCCGTCCCGCCATCAAGACTTATGCGCGAACTCCATGAAAAGTTAGAGCTTTCTGACAGCTTCGCGGTTATCAACCCTTACAAAACCACCCGGAGATAGTGGGACAACATGCATAGTAAACTTCCCGTCATGTCGTGCAGGTTAAACTACAGGATTACACTGTTCACACCTCCAAATGACAACACATAACTTCCTAGCCTGGTGGATAGTCGAACCGTTCAGGGTAGACGACATATTGTAATAATGGGCTTCTGAGCACCCAATACAAATCCGAAGTGTTATTGTTAATACGATGGGTTCATGCACTCGTGTCCAACGAATCCTTTTTCATTAATTTGCCCGGACATATTCAGTTCAAAGTCAGCCCTGACGCAGTGGTTGAAGGCTCCAAAACTAGGGATCCGGGTCCGAGTCGGAGCCATTTAACGACAGTAATTGCACCAGAAGCGGTACTGCCGTCCGGCCTTTCCCATAATTAGACTAAATTGCCTGTTCTTCTCCGATTTCAGCAAGTTTATTGCTCAGCGGTAACGGCCGCCTGTTAATGGAGAGCTCAAGGAACAAACTGCAGGTGGAGTTGATGAATCTCATGAACGACAATCAGTATCTTTCGGAGGGCCGCTTTGGCGAACTTCTGCTGCTCATTCCAACACTCCAGCGGGTCGCAAAGTTGCT